ACGGAAAAAGATAGAAAGGCTGGATTGAAAGAAAGAAAGAAAAAGAAAGAAAGAAAGAAAGAAAGAAAGAAAGAAGGAATGACAAAGGAAAAAAAAGGCCGGATTGAAAGAAAGAAAGAAAGAAAGAAAGAAAGAAAGAAAGAAAGAAAGAATGACAAAGGAAAAAGATAGAAAGGCTGGATTGAAAAAAAGAAAGAAAGAAAGAAAGAAAGAAAGAAAGAAAGAAAGAAAGAAAGAATGATAAAGGAAAAAAAGGCCGGATTGAAAGAAAGAAAGAAAGAAAGAAAGAAAGAAAGAATGACAAAGGAAAAAGATAGAAAAGGCTGGATTGAAAGAAAGAAAGAAAGAAAGAAAAAGAAAGAAAGAAAGAAAGAAAGAAAGAATGATAAAGGAAAAAAAGGCCGGATTGAAAGAAAGAAAGAAAGAAAGAAAGAAAGAAAGAAAGAAAGAATGACAAAGGAAAAAGATAGAAAGGCTGGATTGAAAGAAAGAAAGAAAGAAGGAAAGAAAGAAGGAAAGAAAGAAAGAAAGAAAGAAAGAAGGAATGACAAAGGAAAAAAAAGGCCGGATTGAAAGAAAGAAAGAAAGAAAGAAGGAAAGAAAGAAAGAAAGGAAGAAAGAAAGAAAGAATGACAACGGAAAAAGATAGAAAGGCTGGATTGAAAGAAAGAAAGAAAGAAAGAAAGAAAGAAAGAAAGAAAGAAAGAAAGAAAGAAAGAATGATAAAGGAAAAAAAGGCCGGATTGAAAGAAAGAAAGAAAGAAAGAAAGAATGACAAAGGAAAAAGATAGAAAGGCTGGATTGAAAGAAAGAAAGAAAGAAAGAAAGAAAGAAAGAAAGAAAGAAAGAAAGAAAGAAAGAATGATAAAGGAAAAAAAGGCCGGATTGAAAGAAAGAAAGAAAGAAAAAAGAAAGAAAGAAAGAAAGAAAGAAAAAAGAATGACAAAGGAAAAAGAAAGAAAAGGCTGGATTGAAAGAAAGAAAGAAAGAAAGAAAGAAAGAAAGAAAGAAAGAAAGAAGGAATGACAAAGGAAAAAAAAAGGCCGGATTGAAAGAAAGAAAGAAAGAAAGAAAGAAAGAAAGAAAGAAACAGAATGAACCTGAAATAAATAACAAAACTAGACGAACCTGACTGAAAGAAAAAAGAAAGTAAAAAAGAAAGAAGACTGGAGAGGAAAAGATATAAAAGCAAAAGAAAAAATGAAACGATAAGAAGAGAAATCACAAGCGTAACGATAAAATGAGCGAGGGAGAAAGAGAAAGAGAGGGAGAGAAAAAGAGAGAGAATGATAGATAGATAGATAGATAGATAGATAGATAGATAGAGAGAGAGAGTGATGTAATCTCAATATCGAAATAAGAGCGAATAATATTTTTAAAATGGACGATCATGTCAACTGGAATTAAAACTTTATGCTTTTAGAAAATTGATATTTTGTTTAAAAAAAGTGTGGTGGGCTTCAATTACTCAAATGATTCTGTCACAATCCTTCGTTAAATAAAACCGACACGTCTTCATATTTTGTTTTTTGTTATTTTTTACGCTATAATACAATATCCAATATAATAATCGAATTAGCTTCCATCAATCAAAATACATTCACTCATGCCATTTAAAAGGCTGTTATTAAAATGTCTTTATTTTTTAAAAGAATGCTTCTGCTATTACAAACCGCTATAACAAGAATAAATGAAAGCTTTAGACAAATGGATTTGACGGCAATACATAAATTTCTTCACTTCTGACATGGAGAGATCACAAACCTTTTCGTTCAACATAATCAATCGTCGTCAGTTTTAGCGTAATCTCTGTAAAAATATTTTGTAAAATTAATGATTACCATAGAATAGACAGATGTGTAGGACTACCCCGGTCTTGAAATATTTACACCATATACACAGTTGTAATTCGATTACAATTTAATATTAGCTGTTCATGTGATAACTTTGTCTTGTTAAATTTAAACCTGATATTAGCATTTAAAAAAATGGCGACAGTAGTCTTAAAGCGAACTTATAAAAAAATAGTAAAACTTGAAACTTTCAAAATTACATTGGAGATAATCTCGACACTGGATGGAAATGTTAGAATATATAAAACAAAGTATCCTCTTACATGGTCGTTGTTGTGGCCTGTTTAGAGGCCAGAAAGAAAGACACGGAAGACGAAGGGAGGTTGAAACAAGTGTATTGAAAATATAGATATATACAAAGCAAAAGGGCTAGTAATAAGCAGTTAGAAAGTGTACGTCCGAACGGTAAGCTAACACTGCATCTCTGCTACCCTACGACTCTCCTCTAGGAAGTCTCGCAGTTAGTATTTATGAGAGGAGGAAGAGTTCATTCTACTGTAGGAGGGTTTACCACAACAGTCGTGCTGGACATGAGGCAACAGAAATGTGATTCTACAGAAGGATACTGAGCATAGCATGGGCTTAATATACGAGCTACGAGGAAGTTTTAAGGAAAATTGAAACAAAAAGGACACTTATACTTAGAATAAGAAAGATGCACTTGAAATTTCTAGAACACATGACGAGGAAAGAAGGTTTTGGGAATTTGATACCCACAGCAAATATAGACGGCAAGAGGGGCAGAGGCTTTTTAACGAGCTTGTGCAAATGGATAGCAGAAGAGTGACTGGGGGATAGCAACTCAACTGAGCAATGGTGTGAGGAAAAAATAATTCAGACCTTCAGAATGGTACCGACATTCATACTCTGGCTTCCATCTTCAAAGTGCATTCAAGAACCATCAAGAGAACGGTGAATAAGTTTTAAAAAGTGAGAACAGTAGAGAGGAAAACTGGATCAGGAGGTCTCAAAAGGAAGAGGGATCATCATTTCAACTCAGAGATAAAGAGATCAATTAGAAAAGATCGAATTCAATCCATAAGATGTTTAGCCCGTGAGAGAGGAGTTTTAGCTATGACAGTCCAAAAAGCAGTGAAAACAGACTTGAAAATGAAATCGTACGTAAAACGTATGAGGCACTTTTTACGTCAGAACAGAAAGATGGAAGGTTATAGAGGTCAAAGATCATCTCGAATAAGTTGGAAAATGATCCTGGAATAATATATATATTTGAAGTTTATTTCAATCTTTCATGAGTTCCGATCCTTAGTTATGACTAATTAATGATGAACGTGTCATTTTCATTTATGATCGATTTCATCAGAATTCTTCTGTTAAGCTTCGAGAGTAATTTTACATTCTTACTGCACAAAGTAGAGTCCAAAAACGTTATAAAAACCTCGGAGAATTCCAGTAAGATATCTTTAATCATTTCTAAGTTATAACGGTTCAAAGCTTAATCTAACAATTGGACAATTTTGCTGTTACACTCGGTATATGTATATTATGTACAGTACATACGTAATTACATATATAAATACACACAGTATTTTAATGCATATATTATGTTTCTAGCGATGGATGTCGCCAATAATCGCATTAATACTTCTGATTGATTCTATGTGTGATTATTACTTTGTATGTAAATTATATGCTGCCTAATGTTTTATGTTTATAAAAAACTATCGATCCGCAGTACATAAAAATTCCTATAAAAAAACTAAAAAAATACACTTGTAAAAATAGAATACGTGGATTTAACACATCACAAGAAATATTTAAATAAAATTCTCACTTAAAATTTTGAAAAACTTAGCGTTGTTTCTTTGCACGTTCCGAGATCTTACACGACCGTCAATAATAGCAGATATTCAAAAAACATCTTTCGGTCGACATACAGGTATATCGTCTTCAAGTTTTTGATTTTATAAGGAAAAAACACATGCCTGATGATGAATAGAGGACTATTCGTAAGTACTAGCATTTTAACATCAAATAAACTGAAAACTACAGACATCAAGTTTATCGACGAGAATCACTTCGCACTATGGATTAACAGTATTTTAATGCATATATTATGTTTCTAGCGATGGATGTCGCCAATAATCGCATTAATACTTCTGATTGATTCTATGTGTGATTATTTCTTTCTATATATATATATATATATATATGAAGTTTGTTTCAATCATTAATGAACTTCCAATTCTTAGCTATGATTAATTAATGTCTATTTCGTTTATGATTGATTTCATCACGATTCTTCTGTTAAACTTGGAAAGTAATTATACATTCTTTGTTGCTCAAAGTAGAGTCGAATAGTCTTATAAAAATCTCAGAGAATTCCAGTAAGATATCTTTAATCATTTCTAAGATACAACGGTTTCAACGCGGTTTATTAAATATGTCCAGTTTTAGCATCAATGACGGCTTCGATGCTGGACTGTACGCGTCGGAAACCCTGACTCAATTGGTACAGTTCATACATTTTCTTGACAAAGCTCCACTGGCAGTAATCCAGAGGATTATGTTCTGGGAGTTAGGAAGCCACATGTTAGGCATTATACGATCGGGAAAATTGTCAGCTGTTTATTTTTGCATCACTTGAACTTTATGAGGTGCGACCTACCGTTGCGTAAGTCATCTGTCCCGGGCTTAACAATTGCTTCGAGCATCGCAATAGAGAGATCAGGATTAAGCTCTTGTGAAAATAAGTGATTAGGCTTTACATGTCCCTGGCTACTCACAACCCCAAACAGAATCACAATTGCTGAAAGCCTGGTGCCCGTAACCGTTGAGATATTGGAAGGGTCTGCAGATAGAAACCTTGTTATTTCTCTTGTTTTTCTTTTGTTTCTGTTCAAAGTTCTTTTTTCTCCAAGAAAAACGAAATTATTCCACGCTCTTCTAGGGTTTGAACCTTGTTAAACAACCATTTTGCACAGATCATTCGATTCTATTGCATTTGTCCTGACAGGATTTGTCCTTTTCGCATCACCTGAGACATTCGGATGTCTTCGTGAACCAAAATTCTGTATTCTCCGAGATGTGATAGTTTATAATTTATTTATTTTCGGTGTTCTCCTCGATGACGACCCGAACCTGTTGTATGAATCGAGACATTCTAATGGTGCCAGGACGCGGAGAATGCTTTTTCCCTGTTTCTGTTTCCCCGGTCACTACAATCTTAACCTTTTCAAATCTAGGGTCATCCGTTATCTTCCACGCATAGCCGCATATAGCTTACCTCTTACTCTTTAACCCTCTACCTCGAGTGCCTCCCGGGCTTTGTACAAGGTAAACAACACTGTAAAAATACTTTTCTGTTTTCATTTCGTGTGGCCGAGTAGTTAGAAGATTCACTTTCTGGCTATGAGATCCGGGTGAAATTCGAACCCGGTATTAAAACTAAAAATATAAGAGGAGGACGGTAGAGTAATTGATAGCGGCTCGGATTGGGGGAGCGGAGTTCGAATTCCACTCGAATCCATTACATTCACTTACGTGCTAATGCCCTTGAGAAAGGTATATATCCTCTTCTTCTCTCTCCTCCAGCTATGGGTAAATAGCAGAACATTCTTTAGTTCCACCAGTCCTAAATTGGACGGCTACTATTCGCCAATTTTTAAGATTAACCCAAGCTGACGAATTCTTAAAGAATTGCGAAAATATCCCCTTAATGAAATGTAAGTTCCACTCAAGCAGCTTTTTTCCCCCACAAACCGTTGTCCTATGGAACCGACTCCCAAGAGGATGCTTCCCCGATCACTATAATCTTAACCTTTTCAAGTCTAGGTTCAACCGTTATCTTCCCACATATCCCTATGAACTGTGCCTCTTATTCTGCTACCCTCTACTTCGAGTGGTGAATTGTGAAATGTTTTCATCGGAAGCATCCAGTTCCTTTTGTTCACCGGTGATTTTGGGGAAACTTTGTTTTGTGATGTCAACGAACACTCGTTGTCACTTTCGTAATGCTCGTTGTAGTAGAGACTTTGTAATCGCAGATACAACTATAGTAACGCCTTGTAACAATACTGGTGTCAGACGCCTTCGAATAACACTCGCACTATTAGTAATTGCTCGATAATACTCGCTCAGCAAGGAACCCGTATAGCGATCTGAATAGCGAAATAGTATAGGGAATAGAGTATAGAATAGCGAAATAGTATAGTGAATAGAATAGAGAAATAGGATAAACTAGAAATGGTGATCCATGTAGTAATAGAGGATAGACTAGAAATGTTGATTCGAATAGTAATAGAGGATAGTCTAGAAATAGCGATCGTTTAGACGTCACGCAACCTCTTACTTATGTGTTTCCTCTATGGTCACATGGTTTATTTAATTCAATAATGGGATCGCAGGTGTTTGCTCACTGGCAATCTATGTTCGGCAGCAACACTTTATTCCTATATAACACTTTGCCATCTTTAGGTCGCTGTATTCAACTTTTGAGTGGTAGATTCCTGCAATTTCCTGTCTTTTGCAGCTCTTAATAAATATTGTCTTTTCTTCATTTCTCCCAAATCCCGTCTCTCTATTCATTTACTTAAACTCATCAAGTATTTTATACACTGTTTTCATCTGTTCTATTTGCCATCTATCTGTCCCGTGTGTATCAGACTTTCCAAGGCTTCTTTCCTCATTATGTGCCCTAGAAATTTCAACTGTTTCTTCCTGATGTTAAGTTACCATTAAGTTTCCATTTTCTATAAAACCGCGCCGTTGCTCATGTTCGGTTCATGGTATCCTCAGTATCCTTCTGTAGAATGAGAATTTTATTGCCTCAAGTATCTTCTTTATCTTATAAGGAGATTGTCCAGCATTAACTGCCATATTGTATGACAGACATCATGGAACAGTCCAGTACTCTTTTCTTTGTTTCTAACGAAGATTTTTTGTTTCTTAATACGCTGCTTAGATTTTGGAAGGCAACTTTGGCTATCCCAATGCGTCTTCTGATTTCAATGTGTCACTTTCTGTTCTCTAGAACACTTCCCAGATATTTAAATTGTTCTACTTGTTTGATTTTTAGTATATCCTATTTTGTAATTCGCACATTGGGCTGATCCCTTTCTTAACAATCATTAATTCTGTTTTCTTGCAATTGAGGTTTAATCCTAAACTTCCCGCTTTCTTTCTCTACCCTCTGTAGTAGTTTTCGTCGTTTTCTTTCTGTGTCTGCTATCAACACTGTGCCATCTGCATATCTTATGTTGCCAAGATTGTGACCACTAATAATAAATCCTGGTAGGACATCTAATTCTCTCAGAATTGCGTCGCTGTATAGGCTTAATGTACGGTGAGAAGACACATCCTTGACTTACATCTCTTTCTATTTTTGTATACCTGCTGAGCTCATTTTCTGTCCGTATGCAAGCGGTTTGCTGCCAGTACAGGTTGTTGATTAGTCTAATATCCTTCCCAAATATATCAGGGTTGTTGAGCAGCTCCAACAGATTTTTGTGACATACTTCATCGAACGCCTTTGCGTAATCTATAAAACAGAAATGCATTTGTGTTGCTCTTACTCATAACATTCTGACTATAAATATCTTGTTCCTAGTTCCAGTGTCTTTGACGAACTCAGACTGTCCTTGTCCAATCTCCGGTCTGATTCTGCTACGTTTTCTATACATCAGAATTCGGATGATGAGTTGTGTTATGCGGCTCATTAGGCTAATTGTCCGATAGAGTTCAGATTCGTTTGCACCTGACTTCTAGAGGCAGTACTATGGAAATAGATCTATTTCAGGTACATCGTCATCGTTGCAGATTCACTTTATTATTTCTTATATTAACCACTGTATCTACATTATCAGAGATGAACTATGTACAATATATTAACAGTTTGCAATGAATAAGTTAATAGGGAAAGTGGGCAACTTACTTTTAACAAATCTTTTTGAGTGACCACCTTCCAGTCGTTTGAAAACTCTGTTCCTACCCACACGCATTGGGCTAGCGCTGTAGGTTAATGCCATATTCTTATCCAGGATACAATACCGCAGTCTAACACTGCCTGTTCCTGTCCTGGGTAAGACATTAAACTACATCCGCATCGTGGGTAAGACGATAAACTACGTCCAGCAGCAAAGACTCTGAACAGGAGGTTTTGAGGAGCGTAGAACCACCTCTTAATTGCTGGTGTTCCCAGTTCAACCCTGATTCAGGCTAGTAGCACCAGTTAGGGTCCCAGTTATGGGCAAATAGTTAACAATTACCAGCAATAGATTTTTTTTAAAATTACTACAAGCAATACAATTTTGAAGGAAAAATATTACCAGAAAACAGATTTTTGACAAAACAAAATATTACCAGCAATGAAAAATTTTGTCAGCATTAATTAACCCATTGAGGTTGATATGCCGTAAAACAAAATAAACCAAACCAATCTAAAACAGAGAATACATTTTCTATTCATACGAATCTATCCTAAAAATGTTGTCAGCATTAAATAATCCATTGAGGTTGATATGCCGTAAAACAAAATAAACCAAACTAATCTAAACCAAAGAATACATACTCTATTCATACGAATCTATCCTAAAAATCTTGTCGGCATTAAATAACCCATTGAGATTGATATGCCGTAAAACAAAATAAACCAAACCAATCTAAACCAAATAATACATACTCTATTCATACGAATCTATCCTAAAAATCTTGTCGGGATTAAATAACCCATTGAGATTGATATGCCATTAAACAAAATAAACCAAACCAATCTAAAACAGAGAATACATTTTCTATTCATATATATCTATCCTAAAAATGTTGTCAGCATTAAATAATCCATTGAGGTTGATATGCCGTAAAACAAAATAAACCAAACCGAACTGCCTGTTCCAGTTGGATGACCGAATTTAAAAAAAGAATTCTCAACAGCATCACTTACCTCGACGGTCAAGTCTAGTACTTGAATGGAAAAAATTTTGAGGTCTGGGGAAGGCCTACAAAAATGTTTTCATTTATTTGACACCCGCAGGTTATTTTCATCTTTCTTTCTCTTCTCTGCTCACCCTCAGTGTCTATAACTCTGTCTTTCATTTTTTTCTGCTCTATAATCACTTTCCTGTTAGATATCTTTTCCTATCACTATCTTCTACCTCTCTATTTCAGTTCTAGTCCCCCCCCCACACTTTTTTTGCTTTTCATTTCTTAATTTCTTTTCCCTCTCTTATTCTTTCCTTTGCTCTATCCTTCCTTCCTCTCTCTCTCTCTCTCTTGGTTTGTCTTAACACACTCTTTCTATCTACTGAAGGTTTTTTTCTTTCTTTCACCCTCCTTTCTATTTGTCTTCTCTCATTTTAGATATTAATCGCTCTTCTTTTCTCCTTTCTAGTTTTCTCTATTCGCTACCCTCTCTTTGTTTCAGTTATTATTCTCTCTTCATTCTTTCTTTTCCTCTCCCGTCAAACTATTTCGCCTTTCTCTCCTCTCTCTCTCTCTATTTCACATATTATTCTCTCTTCCTTCTTTCTTTTCCTCTCCCGTCAAACTCTTTCGCCTTTCTCTCTCTCTCTCTCTATTTCACATATTATTCTCTTCTTTTCTTTTTTTTCTCCCGTCAAACTCTTTTCACCTTTCTCTCTCTCTCTCTCTATTTTCATATTATTCTCTCTTCCTTCTTTTCTTTTCCTCTCCCGTCAAACTCTTTCGCCTTTCTCTCCTCTCTCTCTCTCTATTTCACATATTATTCTCTCTTCCTTCTTTCTTTTCCTCTCCCGTCAAACTCTTTCGCCTTTCTCTCCTCTCTCTCTCTCTCTCTATTTCACATATTATTCTCTCTTCCTTCTTTCTTTTCCTCTCCCGTCAAACTCTTTCGCCTTTCTCTCCTCTCTCTCTCTCTATTTCACATATTATTCTCTCTTCCTTCTTTCTTTTCCTCTCCCGTCAAACTCTTTTCGCCTTTTCTATTCTCTCTCTCTATTTCACATATTATTCTCTCTTCCTTCTTTTCTTTTCCTCTCCCGTCAAACTCTTTTCGCCTTTTCTTTCCTCTCTCTCTCTCTCTATTTCACATATTATTCTCTCTTCCTTCTTTCTTTTCCTCTCCCGTCAAACTCTTTTCACCTTTCTCTCTCTCTCTCTCTATTTCACATATTATTCTCTCTTCATTCTTTCTTTTCCTCTCCCGTCAAACTCTTTCGCCTTTCTCTCCTCTCTCTCTCTCTATTTCACATATTATTCTCTCTTCCTTCTTTCTTTTCCTCTCCCGTCAAACTCTTTCGCCTTTCTCTCCTCTCTCTCTCTCTATTTCACATATTATTCTCTCTTCCTTCTTTTCTTTTTCCTCCCGTCAAACTCTTTTCGCCTTTCTCTCCTCTCTCTCTCTCTCTATTTCACATATTATTCTCTCTTCCTTCTTTCTTTTCCTCTCCCGTCAAACTCTTTCTTTCTCTTTCTCTCCTCTCTCTCTATTTCACATATTATTCTCTCTTTCTTCTTTCTTTTCCTCTCCCGTCAAACTCTTTTGCCTTTCTCGCCTCTCTCTCTCTCTCTCTCTCTCTCTCTATTTCACATATTATTCTCTCTTCATTCTTTCTTTTCCTCTCCCGTCAAACTCTTTCACCTTTCTCTCCTCTCTCTCTCTTGGTTTGTCTTAACACACTCTTTCTATCTACTGAAGGTTTTTTTCTTTCTTTCACCCTCCTTTCTATTTGTCTTCTCTCATTTTAGATATTAATCGCTCTTCTTTTCTCCTTTCTAGTTTTCTCTATTCGCTACCCTCTCTTTGTTTTCAGTTATTATTCTCTTCATTCTTTCTTTTCCTCTCCCGTCAAACTCTTTCACCTTTCTCTCCTCTCTCTCTCTCTATTTCACATATTATTCTCTCTTCATTCTTTCTTTTCCTCTCCCGTCAAACTCTTTCGCCTTTCTCTCTCTCTCTCTCTATTTCACATATTATTCTCTCTTCCTTCTTTTCTTTTCCTCTCCCGTCAAACTCTTTTCGCCTTTCTCTCCTCTCTCTCTCTCTATTTCACATATTATTCTCTCTTCCTTCTTTTTTTCCTCCCGTCAAACTCTTTCGCCTTTCTCTCTCTCTCTCTCTCTCTCTCTATTTCACATATTATTCTCTCTTCCTTCTTCTTTTCCTCTCCCGTCAAACTCTTTCCTTTCTCTCCTCTCTCTCTCTATTTCACATATTATTCTCTCTTCCTTCTTTTTTTCCTCTCCCGTCAAACTCTTTCGCCCTTTCTCTCTCCTCTCTCTCTCTCTCTCTCTCTATTTCACATATTATTCTCTCTTCCTTCTTTCTTTTCCTCTCCCGTCAAACTCTTTCGCCTTTCTCTCCTCTCTCTCTCTATTTCACATATTATTCTCTCTTCCTTCTTTCTTTTCCTCTCCCGTCAAACTCTTTCGCCTTTCTCTCCTCTCTCTCTCTCTCTATTTCACATATTATTCTCTCTTCCTTCTTTCTTTTCCTCTCCCGTCAAACTCTTTCGCCTTTCTCTCCTCTCTCTCTCTCTATTTCATATTATTCTCTCTTCCTTCTTTCTTTTCCTCTCCCGTCAAACTCTTTCCTTTCTCTCTCTCTCTCTCTCTCTCTATTTCACATATTATTCTCTCTTCATTCTTTCTTTTCCTCTCCCGTCAAACTCTTTCCTTTCTCTCCTCTCTCTCTCTCTCTATTTCACATATTATTCTCTCTTCCTTCTTTTCTTTTCCTCTCCCGTCAAACTCTTTCCTTTTCTCCTCTCTCTCTCTCTATTTCACATATTATTCTCTCTTCCTTCTTTCTTTTCCTCTCCCGTCAAACTCTTTCCTTTCTTTCTCTCTCTCTCTCTCTATTTCACATATTATTCTCTCTTCCTTCTTTCTTTTCCTCTCCCGTCAAACTCTTTCGCCTTTCTCTCCCTCTCTCTCTCTCTATTTCACATATTATTCTCTCTTCATTCTTTCTTTTCCTCTCCCGTCAAACTCTTTCGCCTTTCTCTCCTCTCTCTCTCTCTATTTCACATATTATTCTCTCTTCTACCTTTCTTTCCTCCTCCCTTAAAATTCTTTCGCCTTTCCCTCCTCTCTCTTTATTTCAGTTATTATTCTGTCTTCCTTCTTTCTTTTCCTCTCCCTTCGAGTTCTTTCGCCATTTTCCTTTAGGTTTTCTTTTTTTCCTCTCCTCCATTTTTGAAATGCTCAAATGTCTTGGCTCAATTAGCCGAAATATTTAGTGTATGAGATTTGACCCGAAATATTTGTACATGAAAGCAAGAGAAAAGAAAAGGAAAATGAAATAGTTGTTTTTAATTTAGTGCCTAATTATTTGGGTTTTAGTTATTTGGAGAAATAAATAATTTACACTTAAGGCATTTTGGTATTTAAAATAGCAACCGATCTGTTTGGAAACCAACTTATCACGAAATGTTTTCCTTGATTTCGAATATTATTTTGTCCATTCCGATTTTTTCTTCTTGACGTGTTCTGTGTTTGATAAAACCTGCTAAAATATCTATAGACAAGATATTAAATAACCCAAGGGTTGACATGTTGTAATCTCAACTAAACCAAAGATATGTACAGACCAAGATAGATATATAAATATATAGAAAGATAGATAGATATGAGCAGACTGAGGTAGACAGATATGAGCAGAGTGAGGTACAGATAGATACATAAATATAAACAGACTGAAATCGATAGTTAGATATAAGCAGATTAAGATAGATAGATAGATAGATAGATAGATAGACAGACAGACAGATGTAAACATAGATAGATAGATAGATAGATAGATAGATAGATAGATAGATAGATAGATAGATAGATAGATAAACGGAGATGTGAATAAACGGAGATAGATAGATAGATAGATAGATAGATAGATAGATAGATAGATATGAATAGCCGTGATAAATAGATAGATAGATAGATATGAATAGACTGAGATAGATAGATAGATAGATAGATAGATAGATAGATAGATAGATAGATATGAATAAACGGAGATAGATAGATAGATAGATAGATAGATAGATAGATAGATAGATAGATAGATATGAATAGCCGTGATAAATAGATGGATAGATATGAATAGACTGAGATAGATAGATAGATAGATAGATAGATAGATAGATAGATAGATAGATAGATAGATAGATATGAATAAACGGAGATAGATAGATAGATATGAATAGCAGTGATAAATAGATGGATAGATATGAATAGACTGAGATAGATAGAGATAGATAGATAGATAGATAGATAGATAGATAGATAGATAGATAGATAGATATGAATAAACGGAGATAGATATGAATACCCGTGGTAAATAAATAGGAAAGATATGAATAGACTGATATATATATATATATATATATATATATATATATATATATATATATATATATATATATATGAATAAACGAAGATAGATATGAATAGACCGTGATAGATAGATAGGTGGATAATCTTTCTATGATTTGGACTTTCCTGTCTTTCTTTACAGTCTTCTGTCCATTCTTTCTTTCGTTTTTTTTCTATATTTTTTCTCTCAGCTATTATACATCCCTATTCCCTCAATTTCCGTATAAATCCTTCTTTCTTTATTTTTGTCCTTTCTCTTTTCTCTTTTCGACCTCTTTGTTCATTTTAATTTTTATTCTCTTTTTTCTTCCTTTTCTACATTTTTTTCATTTTTCGTTTACCTTATTTTCTTCTCTCTCCCCCACATTCTTTTAAGTAATTACAATTTCTATCCAATCATTTGATACATTTTATCTATGACCTTTCTCCGGAAATATTTAATAATAAAATCGAAATAAAAAAGAAATAATGATAATAATATAGTTTATTAATTTAATATTTGGGACAATTCATTTTAAGAAACATTTAAATAATTTATATCTGAGCATTTTTCTAGTTTGGATATCAATTAATGTCGGGTTTATGATATGTCCTTTTCAAGTAGCAGTTAGCACAGGTGATTTTCTAAGTGTGTTTTAGATGTGGCACGAGGTCGTAAGAATGGGGCACCCAGTGAGGATCGAACTCACTATTCAGTCGCAATTAATCTAGCGAGACAAGCCTGTTAATTACAATACCACGTCGAATTGCCCACAGTACTGGATTTAATTAATTAGTTACTTTACTTCTTGTGGCCTTTTTAGAGCCAGAAATGAAGATACAAGAGAAGAAATGAGTGTTTTTAAGCGTTTCACCCCAAGCAAGGGGAGGAAGCCACTAGGACGCAACAAGGGGTTACAGAGAGTTGGAGCGAGAACAAAGAGGAGTGATAGAGGAAAGGATGAAGAGAAGGAAAGGGGGATAGATCAGGGCATCTGGAGACGTCGATTGACATTACATTTGAATAGTTGGTGATTATAGCTATCAGGGAAACAGGAAAAGGGGAGGGAGTTCCACAGGCGAGAGGTGCGAGATATTAAGCTACTGGAGTAGAAGAGACGGCTACATTTAACAGTTTCGACAGTGAAAGGGTGAGAGCGAGATGCTAGCCTAGTTGAACGCTTAAATTCGTGAAGTCTGGGGGCCAGCGAAAGCAGCTCATCGGAGCAGTTACGGTGAAAGTATTTGTAAAAAAGACAGAGGGAGGTGTCGACATGTCTGTGAGAGAGCGACTGCAGACGAGATGCCAGATCAGGGCCAATTACATTGCATATCCGTGTCTGGATTTTATCAAGGACCTTGAGATAAACAGAAGGGGCTCCAGACCATATATGGCAGCAATACTCCATGCAAGGTCGAATGGTTTATTTGTAGATTTGAAGGATCGATTCCGGCGAGAAGAATTTCCTGACGCGGCACAGGGAGCCAACTTTCCTTGCGGTGGGCGAAGCTATTGACTGAATGTATTCGTTCCATCTCAGGTCAGCGGACAATGTGAGACCGAGCAGTTGCAAAGAGGTGCTCTCGTGGAGTTGAGTGTCAGACATTCTAATGGGAGGCAGGGATGGTTCTCTCTGGTGAGTAATAGAGAGCGGTTTTGTTTTTGAGGCATTAAAGTTAACCAGCCAATACCTGCCCCAGTCCACAACCGATTGGAGGTCCTTTTCTAGACAAACGGCCAAGTTAGTTTTGTCAGCGACACTAGGTTTGTTTTTGAGGCAGCAGTAAATAGTAGTATTGTCCGCATAGATGCCTACATGGGAACCTATGAGAACCTGTGACATCAGGAAGATTGTTAAACAAATATATTAACAGAAACAGTAATACAAATATATACAAACAAGAGTGTTACATCAAGAATGTTCGGTCCGACTCTCAGAGCTGACTGCTGGAAAATTCCCTCTCCAAAAAGTCCATGCGTGCGTGTGTAAATTACCATAACACTTCTATATTTCTTAGCCTGCAGTCTTATTTGTTCAAGCTTTTCATATGAGGCACTCAGATACCTTTGCCTGTTAAGTGAATGTCTTGCTTCAAGTCTGGAAATAGGCTTTGCCCTCGCCGTCTTTGTCGTTCTCTTCTGAGAGATATTTATATTTCACTTTTATATTAAACGCATAACATTTTTAACGTACAAGGAGTAATCAATGAATCATAGATACCATTAGACGTTTACAAAGTATAAAGGGAACGTGTTAATTAAACGGTTCATTGCCTTCTGTTTTGGTTGTGAATCTTCATCTCTGCTTTATTGAAACTCAATGCATCGTTTCAAGACTTTTGTTTCGTTGCATCTCACTATTAAAATTTCCTAACAATTGCTGTCATTTTTAATATGATACGGGCTGTGTACCACAATTCACATTGGCACACCTCACAAAATAGAGAACGGGATAAAGCACTACTTACTAGGCAGGATATGTTGACAGACTTATATATAACCGTTATCTCTCTGAGGGAGTGACTGACTCGAGAATAGCGCAGCATTTATCGAACTTTCTATCCTTCGACATAGGAAGAGAAACATGGAAATTAAACACAGTCTGAAAGATGGCCGGAGTATACAAAGGCCGAAACGCCGTGAGTATGGCAATAAAGGAGAGCACAACAGTCCGAGCAATGTAAATAGTGTAAATAATTACAATACCTCATCTTAGAAATATAGACAGATCCTGGAGAAGGCCAGATCGTACAACGACCGAAACGCCGTGAATATGGCAACAAAGATCATGACAACAGTCCGAACAATGTAAATAGTGTAAATAATTAAATTACCTAAACTCAGAAATATAGACAAATGTCTAAAATAAAAGAAATAGAATAAATCATGAATGTTTCATTTAAATCCGACAGATTATTTGATGTTATTTGATATTTTGCAAGAATTTTCAAATTATTGTGTCTGTTACCACAAAAAGACGAATAGATTTCCTATACTAATTTATGCTCACCCAGTGACACACACACACAAAATAAATAAATAAATAAATAAAAAATAACAAAAAACGAAACAAAATACTTAACCAAAATTTTAAAGGTTTTAATAAGGATCGAAAAATATAATTTGATGATAAAAATAATCCTTTGGTCTTTTCTCTTAATAATAACATAAAGATTTTGACGATAAAATAAGTTTGAAGTATTTTTTTTTCATCCTGCATACACATTTTATATATATATATATATATATATATATATATATATATATATACTTGCTTTATTTATAATATTGTTATCCTCATCGTCATTGCCATATTCACAACGTTTCGGCCGATAAAAGTCCGAATAATGTAACTAATGCAAGTAATCCTAATACCTCAAATCACACACAGACACACACACACACACACACACACACACACACACACACACATATATATATATATCCATATCCTTCAATTTCCGTATAAATCATTCTTTCTTTCTTTTGCTCGTTCTCTTTTCTCTTTCCTCCCTCTTTGTTCATTTTAATTATTATTCTCTTTTTTTCTTATTCTCTTTTCTCTTCCTTTTCTGATTTAAGTTCTTTTTTCATTTTTCGTTTACCATTTTTTTCTCTCTCTCCTCTATATTCTTTTAAATAATACCTCAAATCACACACACACACACACACACACACACACACACACACACACACACACACACACACACACACATATATATATATATATATCTTGAGGGATGTGATATATATCGTTAGACAGAAGGCGAATTTTACGCACTTATTCTTCGAATAAACACACCAATAACCGACAGTGCTCAATTCATAGAAGAGCTTTTGCCGTATTAGTGGTAGTAGTAATTGTTTCCAAATTCGCTTTCCCTCAAGATATATATATATATATATATATATATATATATATATATATATATATACATACATATATATATATATATATATATACATACATACATACATACATACATATATATATATATATATATATATATATACGCGTGTACACCCATATGCGAGTTTATGGGTAAGATTTAATTTTAGAAATGTTACAGCTTTTATAAGCGGTTTTTATTTTATCTATTCGTATATTTTTACTTAAAGTTTTTAACGCCATCAAAGATATCAGATCTGGTGTGCATCTATGAAGGCTGGGACCCATCAGAAAGAGGCAAGCATTTTTTCTTTTATTGCAGAACTCAATTTAACATGACTACTTCTCTTTAAGAAAAAAAAATGATAAAATAGATGGAGACTATAATCTAGCGCTCTATCTCAATCGCCATCTGAAGCTGCCGGGGTCTCTGCTATCTAAATGCACCATTTAGCACATTTGGGTGGAGGATAAAAAGCCCCGGGATAGAGATCTCTTCAAAGTGTGTAAAAGACGACGAAAGAGAAAATGTAGGCCGGGAAATTTCTGAAATGGCAGACAAAGATTAAATGAAAATATTTTACTAGACGGTCGGTTTGGTACACACCGATGTACGAAATGTCAACAGACGGACTAATAGTAGCATTTTAAATAATTATTCATAAAAGAAATAGTTTAATCTCGGAGCAGGTAAGACTAGTCAATATACACGAAAGGTTCGACCTGGACTTTAACATTAGAGATTTTTCGACATGAATCATCAGCACGAGCGCAGCCGGGTTTATAGAGACTAGGCAACGTACGATTTTGAATGTAGAGGTGTTTTTCTCTTAAGAAAGAGCCGATTGTGTCCTACTGTTTTACCCATAGCTGGGGGGTTAAGATAAGAATATTTGCGCGTAAGTGAATGTAACGATTTCAACTGGAATTCGAACTCGACTCTCATACGATTTTGAATCCGGAGCTGTTTTTCTCCTAGACTAGTTGCCTACGAAGGAGGAAGAGCCGGTTCTGTCTTACTGTTTCACCCATAGCTGGAGGGTTAAGAATAAGGATATTTGCGCGTACGTGAATGTAACGATTTCGACTGGAATTCGAACTCGGCTCTCATACGATTTTG